TCCATTTGTAAATCATCTCGACTAATAAGTGAGACTATCACATTTTCTTGAAGCGAAACGAAGTCTTCTGATTTAAAGACTTTATCAGGGTATTTAACTACAATATCATTGCACCATTTTTGTAACTCTTGAAGCTTATTATTCTGGAAAATTTTTTGATAAATACGAGTAAAATTTAAACGAATCCAGTGTGCTTCCGTTTCAATTAAATGAGTTTCAAGGTATTTAGCCAATTCATCAAAAAGAAATTCATAAGCTATAAGCATAAGCTCATAAATAAATGATGCATTATGGTTTTTAAGCAAAACTACTCCTCCGTAGATATATCTTTGTATTTGGTTAATTGATACGTTAGATTTCTTATCGAAATTTACGGTAATATAAATTATAAATCTTACCTACCTGATGATTATGTCGAATTGTTGGATGGAAATATTTTTTAAATCAAATGTTTTAATATTATTCTCATTTTTACTAACTTTTGTCAATTCATTACGAAAATATAAAGATCTGTATCTTAAAATTGTTGAATGAGCTTGGAATATTTTCGAATTTGGAGATTCGCCAATATTGATGACTATATTAAAATCTTCTTTGTCATCAAGAAGTTCAAGATAGTTATCTGAAAGTTTTTCAAAAAATTTTACTACCATTTTTTAAATAAATGTCAAAATTTTGGCTGTAGTATAAATAATAGAGCTAGTAAAAAAACCTAGTTCGTAAGATATTTGGGATAATGCTCGCAAAAATGATTTATAGACATCTGCTGTACAACATTACACTATGTGAAGGTCGAAACCGGTTTAATTTTTAGTGGTTAAAATCGGGTTAACCGGTGATAGCATGTGAAAATAAATTAATTAAACCGTATGAACGCTAAACAAATAGGAAATTTGTATTATTATTTTTTGTTATTATTTGGATGAAAAGTTTTAAATGTTATTTATGAATACGTACAGTACTATGAAATGAATGACTAGAAATTTATTGATATTTGGTTGATACGTATTATGACATTTACGTTTAACTTTTACAAACATCTAGAATTTTACCAATAAAGTTGATATAACAGTTTGATATATTTACTTAACCTTAAGAATGAGCATCCTTAAAACGTATAAATATATCAGTTTTGTGAGAAGCAATTGTATATATCAAGATTGATTAAATTAAACTTATGATAGAACCAAATTTTCAATTAAGTAAATTAAATTAGTTCATTTATAATTAAATGAGAAATGAAGAACTTATTGCTAAAATAAAATATTTATTATAAATATTATGCTTTTAAGATAAGGGTAGTAACAGATATTACGTAATATTTTTTACTATACCCTCTCCCTCTCCCCCACGTAAGAGAAATTTTGATTGGCTATTATAAATTAATAGATCTTAATTATAAGATATTGGTCATGCAACGATTAATATCATGAAATTTGTTTTGTCTGAGCAAATGGTTGGCTGACATGCGCCGCACAGCGACACATTTCAGCCAACATTTGTTCCGGCAGAACAAATTTTATGATATTTAATATCGCAGGATCCAATAACGATGTTATCGTGCAATTATGATCATGATTTACAAGTCATCATTGGCTGAGTTTTAATTCGAAAAAAATCTACAGTTTGCACGATAACATAACTGATAAGATATTGAAGACCCTGCACCCGGAAAATGTGTACCAGGTTGGTACGCCACAGTGGCGTAACAATCCGAAAGACATTAATCAGAACTTGAATATAATACAATGTGCGTAGTTGCAGTAGCAATTATCTTATAGATAAGAATTTAATTTTCTTCAATTTATTTATGTACTGTACAGAGCTATTTTAAGAACCTATTCGCTATAATAATTTTTTCTTTTTATTTACGCAAAAGATATTATTTAATTAATATTTCACAAGATGCTTGAGCAGTTTACAAACCTAAAAATATTAATTTTGTTAAATTAAGCTTTTCTTATCAATTAATATTTGAAATATTAAAACCTTACAAATTAATTTTGTTTGTTATTCGAGACATTCTTTGATAAATTATGAACTTTTTTTGAAGTTTTTCTTTTTTTGCGTACAGCCATTAAAGATGAATCAGTATTTTCTTTATCTTTATGCTTTCTTCTTTGAATTGATGATACTTGCACTTTAATTTTCTTTCCACTTCGAAGTGATTTGGCTTGCGAAGAGTTCTGTTGATAAAGATATGTGACCAAATTACCTACAGATAAAGATTCAGATTTTTCATATCCTTTTTTAAAATATTCAATTCCAGCAAGGAGTTAACTATTATTTTTGATATCATTTGCAATTCGGTGAAAAAAATTTTCAATTGATGTAATACGACTTTCATATTCAAGATCACTATTAAAAAAAGTTAATAGTGTAAATAAATAATATGAAAACTATATATTTGAAATATAAACATACTGAATAATATTAATAGTGCCGAATTCATTATTGTTATTACTTAGTATTTCTGAATTTTGAATATTTATCTCCAAACTTTGAGCATCTGTTTCCACATTTTGAGTATTTAAATTCACTTGCAGGTCTTGTGTATTTGAAATCACTGATGCACGTAAAGATGCATAAAAGGAAGGATCTTTCGCAATTGTACCTTGTATATATAATATTATAGTATGATTATATTAAACAATAAAGACTTGATAGTTTAATATAAATAAATAAACCTACCACATGCAATATATCGATATATCATACAATCATTAATTGAAAGAGCAAAAATAAATCAAGCGATCCTATATGATATTTGATTGCAACAGCTGCTTGATGTTTGCAAGGAGTTCCCCCAAGAGCAGCAGGACATGTGCATGTTCCTATAAATGGATCAACTATATAAAATTAGTCGGAATTTGTTACACTAGGTACAATATAAATATTATTAATATTATCATGTTTAATTTCTTGTTGATTTACTATCTCCCATCCAGGGCAAAAAAATCGTTTTGATAATTCTAAATAGCCTGGTTGCCGATTTGCAATAGCTAACAATCGTCTTTCATAAAAACGTACCATGTTGGTTATTATAAATTGGAAGATTTGCATGGCATTATAAGCTTGAGTCTGGGCAAATATAATATCCTTTATAAGCCCAAAGCTTTGCTCTACATAGTTATTTGTATGATTTCCCCATAATAACAAGTTTTGCCGATATGATAGTGCCCAAGAATTTAATGCTCCCACATATGCATGCAGTGTACTGCAAGTTGATTATACTTACTAAAATATTTGTTTTTAAATTCAAGAAATCTATTTTCATTTCTAAAATAGAATGTGCATATAAAATAGCTTTAAATGACTGCATAATTGATATACGATCATCTTTGTGAATTCCATGTTTTGATTTATAAAACCAACGCCAAAATGCTTGCAACACATGGAAAATACATAATAATTTAATACTAGATGGCCAGCAAAGATTAAGAGCATTACGTTCAGCATATGAATCATCAGTAATAAAGACTTCAGGACCAAGATTTATTCCACGATTATAGAATGCATTGCTAGGTAATATCATTTTAAGTAAATTAATAGCATTTTCAATTGTAACTTCAGCTTCATCTGAAGTTAAAAATAATCCTAGTGGTAAAGCTCCAGCAGCACAACTAGTATATAGAAGAGAAATAGATGTATTAAGCGGATCAAAAGATGCAGAGGCATCAAAATAACAAAGCTCACCAGCTTGATGTATTTTTTCATGTACTCTTTTCATTAAGTTTGTCACAATACAGAGTATAAATGGAGTATTTGTAAAAGAATTATATATTTGAAAAATTGCCCTTCCTTTGCTGGAATTATTGTATTCATTAACCATTTCTTCTAATCGTATAAACATGTCTCTTCCATTTTGATCGCCTAGTTGTGATTTACGAAATTGATTGTAAAGATGCTTTACAAAACCCTGATCAGGATTTTTTGCTCGATCTGCTAATAATTGTGCAAGATCATCATCATCAGATGCTGATAAATGTAATTGATCTTCAAATGTATGTCTTGCTGTAGCTGCCGAATGTCCCATATTGAATAAATTAATATACTGTTTTTGAGTTTCTTTACTAACGGAGCGAAAACTAAGTGAGGCTGCTGAATTGGGTAAATGATTATGAGTAAATCAAAGATTTATCTCAAGTGGATGTGTATATATTAAATATGATTTTCTTAACCGAAAATTAATTGTTGAAGAGCAATTTATATCTCTATTATATTGACTATTGGGATTTTTAATATCACGGCTGCTATTTTTTTGTTTTACTATATTACTATGAATACAGTGCCGTAACTCTCTAAAAATTACTTTTTGCCCTTTGGTTATATAAGTTTTTGTTAATCGCATTGTAGTTTTTGAAATCTCCTGAAATTCATCTAACCATTTTAGGGCATTTTCCTTGGTATTAATATTAACATAAAAATCTGTTTCGATTTGACCAATAGTTACATTTTCCGAAGTAAATATAGGTTCAGGTTCGATATAATTCTCAATTTGGTATGTATAATTTGATGGAAGTATTTGCTGAAGTGGAAACGGCAAGTTAGAAAAATTAGATGGTGGACTAATTAAAGGTTGGTTAATTAAATTTTGCATTTTTAATGTCGTAAAAGAAAAAAAAATATTTAATATTAATGCAATTATTATTATTATTATTATTAATTGATATTAGTAATGATGCATCGCTATTTTAAAATTCTGATTAAAGGACTTCCAAACTGTTACACCACTGTGGCGCACCAACCAGGTACACATTTTCCAGGTGCGAAGACCCTCAGGATATTACGTAATATCTGTTATTACTTAATAATGGGAAGATAGCTAACGGAACTATATTTTAAATTATAACAAATAGTTTATTCGGTTTATTTATTAATAACGTTTAATGTTTAATATAATCTGGAATATTTCATATTCTTTCACTTAAAAATATGATGATCCAAAATTACGATATAAATGTTATAACTGTAACATTGTCTTTCTTGATTAAAATTATTCCCATACTGTAGCCAAATCACTACCCATTACCAAAAATTGGCCAAGGCTACTATCATAGTAAATTGCATATTCCGGTTGTACTACACGACTTAAAAATAGAATTTTGGATTAGATTATAGAATTTTAATCATAGCTAGGAAAATCACCCTTCGGGATTTTCAGATCGGGCTAATTCGGAAAAATTTAGACCAGAATGTCGGTTCTTATTCATATGTAATACATCTTTTTACTTTACTGATTCGACAGTTTATTTAATAAACTATCGAATAAATATAGCAAAAGGTGATTTACATAT